ATCAAGTCAAGTGATGTGGATTGCTTCCGAGTCGTGGGAGTGTCCTTGAGCCCTTTGGCCTTCGAAAACATCGAGTCGACTCGAGGGCGGTGGGGCGATCCACCTCTCTTTCATGCGCGACAACAGCAGCACAAAGCCAAAAGAAACAACGTGGGCAGAGCCAATTCCGAGCCAAATCAGGGGCGCGAACGCATTGTCCAGACTCATGATAGCATATGGCCAAAACCCTCGAGTGTACGACACATGGGCGATCCACGCGATGCTGGCAAAGATCGTTGGCCACAGCATGACGTACTTGAAGCTCGTGCGCTGGACGAGATGCTCGTTAAAGGTAAATTCGACCACGAGGACAATCACGTTGACGAGGTGCACGACGTACGTCGTCCACGTGGTCGATTTGTCCGAGTTGAAGAGGAAGATCCAAAACACAAGCGCGACGACAAACACTGTCGAAAAGATCACGTCGAATAACGCGTTGAGGGGTCGGTTGGCGTCGCCGCGATGTGCCCACCGGCGCGCTTGGTCAACAGCGGCAGCTCCGAAATAGAGTGTCTGGAGGGTGAAGTTCCAGTACGTGTAATAGACAAAGTCAAACCAGGTGGTCTTGTCCATTTGGATGATCCACACGGCGAGGAAAAAAGCAAAGCTCGCAACTCGGAAACCTAGAAGCACCGCGTTCTTGTCATTGAACTCGACTGGCATGGCGTGGGGACGGGGTAGCGGGCTGGTGGCAATGCGGTACAGACAGACGACGCCGACAATGCCCAGCAACAGGCCACACACGATCTCTTTCCACAGGAGGGGGTCGCCCGGCATGCCCCAATTCAACGGATGGCTCGATGACTTTCCCTGGTGCAGCGACGTTACCAGGCGATCCTACTTCGGTTGAGCATGATTTCCAACCAACGGCTAAGTCGTGGCACCAATCACCGCCACCCAGTCTCGCCGCTCCGTCCAGCATATGCATACATCCTCCTCATCCATTCAAAACCGCCCACTCTACTATGTCTCATGCAAAGGCAGCTCCAAAAAGTGTTCCTGTCACTCGGATTCTCACACTTGAAGATTGCTCACCGAGTATTTCTCGCGTTGTCAGGAACAGACTACACGTCCTGCTGCCGCGAACGATGGACTGACGAGGAGTCGTCGCAGATCTCAGCATGTACAGCACACTCCCTTTGCCTCGCGTATTGCTGCAGTCGCTCACGAGCTCTTGAACTGAAAAGCGATGTCAGAGACCGACGAGACGAATCCAAACAGTGCCGAGGGGACGCTCCGATGCGACGGCAAACTCTCCAAGCAACGGGTTCCCCTTATTCCCCGAGTGTGTGGAAAGTGTCCAGTGCGTTTCGTGTCGAGGGCGTTTTGGTGGTCAGAGGACGACGACGTGCGAATCCAACGAAATGGCAGTCGAACGTCGTCGAGTTGGAACATTGGGACGGGTCGACACAGGTATCCATCGTTCCGTGCATCGTCGCTTTGTGTTTGACGGCGCACGCAGCCTACAGGAGTGGATCCAGCCAAAGCCAAAGCGCGCTGATGTCTGAGCGCCTGCCGCCGCAACCTCTTTTTTCTGTGGAGGTTGTGCGATCGTCACGATCATGTTTCGAGCGCGATGGGATTGGTGGAGAAAATTTCGAATGGGCCTGATAGCCAATCAAAATATTCTAACAATACACACGACCAATCAAAATGTTTGGATCTTTCGCAAGGGAATAATAGCGGAATCGTTTGCTGCACGTCGCGGCGGCCCACACTGCGCACTTTCCAACTGGATCGACGCCAGCGACGATGGTGGAGCTCGTTGTGTGGCAATCGATTGTGATCGCGGTGATGCTGGCGACGGGGTTCGGGGTGTCAGCCTACCGCCTCTTTACGATTCCTCGCGAGCCGTACCGCGTCCAAGTGCCCCAGGTCCCCAAGAACATCCCCTTGCTGGTCTTCCGCATCGCCATATTTTCGTTCTTCTTGGTTGTGTTCTTGATCCGCATGGCTCAAACTAACTTGGACGACCTCTTTTACTACACGTACTGGAATTTCACGATCCAAACAATTTACGTCGGGTGGGCCATCGTGTACCAAATCCAAATTTGGTTCCAGCCCAAGCCCGTGCACGCGAACGGGTGGCTCAACGCCACGTTTGACGTGGCATTTACATCGTGCGCTGTCGTCGTCAGTGTGTACTGGTTCGTGCTGTACAAGCCTACAGCTATTGTACCGTGGACAACTTATGTGGTTCACGGGGTGAACCTCATCCTGTTGCTGATCGAGTTTGCATTCAACGAACACCTTGTCCAACGCAACAACATGAAGTTTGTCATCATGTGGCCGGCTCTGTACGGCTCCGTGACGTGGATTACGATGGCCACTGGATTAAACGACAAATGGCCGTACGACCTTCTCGACGTCACAAAGCCGTATGCCCCGCTCAAGTGGTTTGGCATTGTGTTTAGCCACGCCGTCTTCTTCGGCGCGGTGCTGCTTCTGTCGCTGCTGAAAGTCCGCATTGTGGGGGAGCCAGCCCCTGCCGTCGAGTGTGCCAAGAACGACAAAGTCACGATTCAAGTCGTGCCCAACTCGTTCGTGTAGTGTGGTGCCTCGTCGTGTCTCGTTCGATCGTCACTTGAATGACAATTCGTTGTTTGTTTCATCGACCTTGCTCAAACCTCTCGCATTTTTTGTTCATGCCACCTCTCCAAGCGAACATCGCGCCACGGCGCAGAGAACGCATCGACATCTCCCTGCATCGTGCACACGGCATCGCCATAAAGGCCAAGTTCCATCTGAGCAGCCACGCCGCCCTTGACTTGGCACGTTCTCGACGCCTCAGGTAGGTCAGGTCAGGTTTTGGGACTAAAAGGATGGGGGGGGTCTAGGGGGTCCATATTCGTTTTGCACCCTCCCCCCCCTAGACGTCCGAACGACTGGTCACGATCACGTCCGGCTGGATCCGAGCCAGCCAACCGAGTCACTCTTGAAAGTGGTCGCTGCCGACGTCTAGACGACCTGTGAAGCGTAGCGCTAGTGTTTGCATTCGGTATCTCCGCCTGGTGAATTCTTTCATGTACCAGATGGTCAAAAGCAATGCGATAGCATCCTCCGATATCTCTATAGTTAGTCAACGACCAGTTCCTGTCTGCTCCGTTGGCTTGGAAAGGTATCGAACATCTTTATGAGACACCATGCAATCGTGCTTCCTGTCGAGTGCTCCCATGGGTTGACGTCTCCACGCTCCGAGCGTAAGTGGGTTTGTCCGACTTGTAGCTAGCTGGTGGAGTCGTTGGGAACGGGGTGGAATAAAAAGCGCTCCGACATGGACGGAAAGCACCGATACACCAGGTCTATCTTGCTATCTGCACTCGTAACAGCGCTCATGTACTGGCCGAGGGCTGTCGGAAGTGTAGTCGTCGTCGCAATCCGAGGCTCGTCCACGACGGCATGGAAGATAAACGCAAGAAAATTTTGAAGCTCGCGTGATGAGGATGTCGTCTCGCTATGTATATTGAAACAAATCTATCTCTTGACCCATTGGAACGACTTTCGCGCCTTCTTCCGCCCAGTCTTTTTACTTTCGACCATGCGCGAGTCTCGCGTGAGGAAGCCGACCGCCTTGAGGGCAGGGCGGAAGTCCGGGTTAAACTTTTCGAGAGCGCGACTGATGCCGTGGCGGATGGCACCGGCCTGGCCGGACAATCCCCCGCCCTTGACGGTGCAGTACACGTCAAAGTTGCCCAAATGGTCGATCTCCAAAAACGGCAACAAAATGTCGTGACGGTGCGCGTCGCGGACAAAGTAATCGACGAGGTCCATCTTGTTCACGCGGACCGTACCATGGCCGTCGACTTCGCTGCGCTTCACCCACACTCGTGCAGAACTGGTCTTGCGGCGACCAGTGCCGTACGCGCGCCCGAACTCATCGACTTCCACGACGCGGACTATCTTCTTCTTGGCGTATTCTTCTTGGCGTTTGCGCTTGATCATGAGTTCGCGCTCCGTCACGATATCCGCCATGTTACGCGCAGCCTGGATCCACGTGGCTGTGCCATCTTCCGTGACTGCGTCAAGGTCGCCATTGAACCCGTGCCAGTTGTCCGGGTGGAATTCAGGACGAGGGCCCCACTCTTCAAACCACGTGTCGTCCTGGTCGTCGTCATTCTCGTCGTCGTCGTCACTCTTCTTCTTCGACGCAAATCCAGCAGCATGGCTCACCGCGCCCAGGCCAGCAGCGGACTGGCGAGCTACGCCCAGCCGTAGACCGCTGAACGCTCGCGCCAACATCGTGCGCACCTCCAAGTTAGTCCAGAGATAGTTGGCGATCGACTGGTGCAAATGCTTGGGCCACTCCTAGAAAACCTTTCAAATTCAATACTCTATAAATGGATACAAGGTTTCTTCTGGCCACGACCAACTCCCTGACAGTTCGCCAGGCACGTGGACTGGGCCACAGCCATGCAGTGCATTCATGTGCACGAAATTGTAGCTCTCTCGCTGCACATTCACAGGTGCGAAGTGTACAATGTGTGTGTGCATCGTGCGTATCTCGCTAGAGTTGTCGGATTGGCAGACACAATCGTGGGTGCAATCCTTTAGCCGACACAACAGCTTGAAACCGCTTACAATGTGATGCGCCAAGGGGAGTGCTCGTTGGCATCATGGTGTGCTCATGGCATCGTGGTGTGTATCGGAGGGGCGGACAGGCTCGGCTCCATGTTCCTCACGTCAGCATGCCTGCCCCACACAAGTCAAAGATGTTCATGGTAAAGAGGGAAAAATAAAATAGAAGATGGATTATTTGTATACAAAAAGAACGTAATTGAATGAATGGAGGTGCCTGGCTGTCCATTCAGCGCAGGTTGTGCCTGGTCCAGTTATCGCTTGAGTTTGTGGTGACCCATAACTCTTTCGCGCACAAGATGGCAAGTCGATTCTGGGGCGGGTCGTCGTCCGAGTCGGGAAGCGACAACGAAAGCTCTGGTTCGGAAGTCGAAGATGTAAAACTGCAGGCCAACCGCTGGGACGTGGACTCGGAATCCGAGTCCGACGACGACGTCCGTGTGGTCGTGTCGGCCAAGGACAAGGCGCTGCAAGCGTTGCAGTTGTCGGTCGACTCGATCAAGCGGTTTTTGAAAATCCACGACTGGAGCAAGATCCAAACCGAGTTTGACGCGATGGCAAAGCAAATGGACAACGCCAAGGCGAAGCAAGCGATTGCACAGAACGGATTCCCCAAGTACTACATTCGGTGCATGGCGCAATTGGAAGACGAGGTCACGGACAAGCTCAAGAACAAATCGGACAAGAAGATGAGCAAGGAAAACTCAAAAGCCTTGATTCGTATGAAGGGCAAGATCAAAAAGCACAACGAATCCATCGCAAAAGAATTGGACGCGTATCGCAAGGACCCGTCGGCGTATGAAAGCGAAGAAGAAGCGAGTGACGATAGCGATGACAGCGACGACGACGATAGTGACGAAGACGATGACAGCGAGGACGAAGATGATGAAGATGACGACGACGGAGACGAAGACGAAGCCGACGGGAGCGACGATGACGAGGTACACTTCTTTTGTATACCTGCTCCACCTTTCGCAAATTCGCACGGCGAAGACACCCTGCGATGGTGTCGATCCCGTTACAACATTTCGTTTGCGATATCAACGCCCTTTGTTTGAAATGACGATGGGCTCTCCCTCGTTGTTATAGAAAAGGCCAACATCCCCCGTTTGTTTTGTCTTGCGTGTGTGCCTTGTTCACTTCCACCGCTCACTTGTGTGCTCTAGTCGGAAGATGAAGACGATGACGACGAAAGCGACGACTTTGGCGACAGCGACGACTCATCGAGCTCGTCCAGCGAAGACGAAAAGGCATTCGGGGAACTGAAAGGGCGTGCTCGCTGGTTGAAGAAGGTCCCAACCACAAACGAAGCGACCAAGAAAACTCGTGTCAAGCCCACGCGCGGCCCCAAAGAAATTAAGGAGCGTGAAGTGCGCAAGACCGTCGTCGAAGAAGACTTGAAGCTCGGCAAGAAGGGCTTTGACAACAAGATCAAGGAAGTGATTGCGCTGCGCGGGAAGCGCGGCACCGACCTCGGCGAACAACTCACAACATTGCGCAAGCTCGTGAACTACGCGCGCCGCCTTGGCCCCGCTCGTGAAATCGTTGCCACCATGCATATGGTCGGGACGCAAATGTTTGACACGAGCTCTAAAATCGACAAAGTGCTGTCCACACGTCTTTGGAAACTCGTCCACTCCGATTTGCTCAACATTCTGGACCTTCTCGAGCGCAACCCTGGCTTCACTTTGGCGCCGTTAACGTCCGAAGATCAAGCCGACCTCATCCGTGCGGGTGCTAACAAGAGCAAGGAAGTCGTTGAGGACGATGAAGACGACTTACCTGGCCAAGATCACTTGCCTGCTGCCGGTGGCAAGGGTTTGATCAAAGTGTCTGGCGATCTCGCGGCCTTTGTCGAGCGTCTGTCTGACGAATACACAAAGAGCTTGCAGCAGATGGACCCACACACGACTGAGTACATTGGTCGGTTGTACGACGAAGCTCTCTTGAGTGGCGTCGCCAAGCGCGTGCAAAACTACTTCAAACGCCAACAAGATCACGCCCGTGGTGCCGCTGTCGCGCTCATCCAAGCCGAACTCATGTACTACAAGCACGATTCCATCGCAAATGCACTGCATGTGTCGAACGCGAAGCGCGCCATCTACGGCGAACCGTCGCTCCTCCATCCTGCGTGTGAAAGCGCGTCGGCCAAGCCGTTGAAGACATTTGATGCGACTGTGGTGCACCCTGCGTCGGTTCTAGGCCAGCCCCACGTCGATGTCCCCGCTGTCGACGTCGAAAAGGACCTCGCTGAGCTGTGCTTGTACGTGTATAAGCATGCGGACGACCGGTCCAAGACACGTGCCATGCTGTGCCACATTTACCACCACGCGTTGCACGACCGCTTCCACGAAGCTCGTGACTTGCTCTTGATGTCCCATTTGCAAGAAACGATTTTGCACACGGACATTGCGACGCAAATCCTGTTCAACCGCATGATGGCCCAGCTCGGATTGTGTGCGTTCCGCCTCGGTCTAATTTGGGAAGCCCATGCGTGCTTGAGTGAAATCTGCACGGGGTCCAAGACCAAGGAACTCCTCGCCCAAGGCATGGCATCGTTCCGTCATCAAGAACGCAATGCCGATGAAGAACGCCTCGAGAAGCGCCGCCAGGTTCCGTACCACATGCACATCAACTTGGAATTGCTCGAGGTCGCTCATTTGACGTCGGCCATGTTGCTGGAAGTCCCCAACATGGTCCTCTCGCGCACGCAAGACCGCCGCCGCGTCATCTCGAAGGCGTTCCGCAAGCTGCTCGAGTTTCACGATCGCCTGGTGTTTGTTGGACCCCCGGAGAACACGCGCGACCACATTGTCGCAGCCGCCAAGTTTTTGTCGCAAGGGCAATGGCAACGCAGCGTCGACCTCATTTGCGGGTTGCCGGTGTGGGAGCTGCTTCCGGGGAGTGGCACTGCACAAAAGGTCAAGGCGCTTGTCCAACACAAGATCCAAGTCGAGTCCCTTCGATCGTACTTGATGGCGTTCTCGGAAGAATACGACGCGCTCAACCTCACGCATCTCTGTGCCATGTTTGAGCTTGACTCGAAGACCGTGCACTCTGTTGTGTCCAAGATGATGATCAACGAAGAGCTTCAAGGCGCGTGGGACCAAGGGTCTCAGTCGATCGTGCTGCACAAAGTTGAGCGCACGCGGCTGCAGCAACTTGCGCTTCAGTACAGCGACAAGATCGGCATGATTGTCGAAAACAACGAGCGCATGCTAGATTTGCGCGCCGCGTCGGCCAACCTCAGCACCAACCCGAAGGAACACCACGACAACTCGTACCAGCGTCGCAATGACAACCGCAAGTACGACAACAGCTCCAAGGGAGGCAACCAGACCACCAACTCGTCGTCATCGCAGTCGTCCGGTGGGGTCCGGGGGAACCAAGGCGGGCGAAAACCCCAGGGTGGCAACGCCGGCAAGTCGTCCAACTATGCAGGCAAGTCGGCCCAACAAAGGTGGTAGAACGAAATTTAGAGCGTATTGTTTGCACTTTGGCGTTGTTGAAGATGCCGTCAATCACAGTCCTTGCACGATGGGGGTGTCGGCACCTACATCAAGATGGGGTGGGGGACGTGCAAGCCAGGACGGCGCATTGCATTGGGAGGCGGTTGTGGTGGAAGCTGCCGCCGTTCAGTCTCGATGCAGCGTCCTGCTCCGTGATGTGTAAAATGTAGATGTGGTCATCGATATATACTCAGGTCGAGGGGTTTCGATTATTGGTGAATGGCTGCACGATGTCTTTAGATGAGACGTCGTCCTGCACACTCTGAAGAAGCTTTTGTGTCCAGAGAGGATGCCGCCCCTCCATCATGTCGCAGTCAGAAACGCGGCAATTTTCGCCAACTTGCCGTCGGCCTCAAGTTTCTTAGCTTCGATCGCTTGGCGTTCACGATTGTAGGACTCGATGGTCGACTTGGCCTTTTGTACGGCCACGGTCAGCATCGCGGCTTCCTTCTCCAGGTCCTTGTGGGCTGCTGACAGCGTCGCTTTCGTCTCTACACGTTCGAGTGAGCACGGACGGGGTATCAAGTTGATGGAACTTACGTCTCACGGTCAGCACGTCTTCCTTGGTAGCTGCCAACGTCGCGATGAGGATTTTGAGGGCATTTTCGTGGCCCCCGACGTCAGATAGCCGCCGCTGGAGCTTAAAGCGGCTCTTGACTGCCTCTTGCTGCTGTTTTCGTACGATCAACTCATCTTGCACAAGCTGGGCTATCTTGGCCTGACGGTCTGCTGCCTCCGTGGTCAGGGCATCGTACTGTTTCCGGCGTTCTTCCAAGATGGCTTTAGCCATGTCAATGCGGCGCTGCAGATCAGGGAAGTCATCATGCGAGTGTTGAATCTCCAATTTGTGGTACGCGATGTCGAGTGCGGCCGTCGCTTCCGCCATGATCAGGATTGTAACCGTTGAAGGGCTGCGTTCATCCGGATAACTATGGATAGCTTTATCCGGTACGAGAGATTGGGCGACTTGGGATCGTGGGGCCAAAACGCAAACAGAGCATGGACAAGTACCGCCGCGGACCGAAGAAAGCCGAAGACCAAGATGGCGAGGCGCTTCCAAACGAAGTCCGGATCACCAAGTTTGGAAAAGTTCATGGGTATGTGTCGTATGCAACGAACATGCTCATGTCGGGGGACAAGACGGCGGGGACATCCGGCGACATTGTGTTGAAAGCGATGGGGGGAACCATCAACAAAGCTGTCACGGTGGCGGAGATACTGAAACACCGCATCCCTAACATGCACACGGTCACGAATATTTTCTCCGTGGAAACCGAAGACGTGTACGAGCCGCTTGAAGAAGGCCTTGACATTGTCAAGACGATTCGCCGCATCCCTGGGATCAAGATTCAGTTGGCATTGAACGTATCCTTGGTCAACTTGAGCTCCCCTGGGTACCAGAAACCGATTCCCCTCGATCAAGTCAACCAGAATTCGGACCGTATGGCGCATACCTTGGACGGTGAAGATGACCGACACACTCGTGGGGGCGGTCGTGGTGGGCGAAAGCCGCGTGGTACCGCTCGCGGTGGACGCGGTGGCCGTGGAGGGCGAAGTGGAGATGCTGCTGTGGAAGGCGAATCAACAGCCATGGATGGTGCTGCGACTTCTGGTGATAACGAAACACGACCGGTTCGTAAGGAGCGTCATGGTCGTCCAAAGTCTAGCCCGGCGCCAAACTCGAGTCCTGCGCCAAACTTGCCAAGTGCGCCTACAAGTGATGTTGTGGTTGCAACCGAAGCATCTGAGGAAGGCAACGCTGGTCGAGGTTCACGTGGTGGTCGTGGTCGTGGCGGCCGTGGTCGAGGTCGTGGCCGACGTCCAGCGGAAGAAGGTGAAGCAAAAGAGCAGTCGGATCAAGGTGGTCGCGGCGGTGCCCGTAGTGCCAATCAACGTCGTAGCCCTGCACCGGCTGGAGATACCGTGGAAGCTATCAGCACTGGCGCAGCCATCGTTGATGATGTCCGCGACAAAGACTCCGCTCCTTCTCGTGCACGTACGGCGCTGAATGGTGGTGCCCGTGTTCGTGGGAATGGCCGTCGATCTCGACCCCGCGGCGGACGCGGCGAAAACAAGCCCATGGACGAATCTTAATTGGCGACGAAAAACGCGCGAACATTTTTTTAATTTCGCCAGTGCAGTATAGTCAACGTGAGTGCAATAGGTTGCTTTTTTAATTTGCCTGCTCTCGATTCCATTCAAGTTCGTCCGTCCATCATGAAGGTGAACGCGAGCGGGTTCATCAACCTACATAAGCCAAGCGGGTTGACATCGCACGACTGTGTGGCGAAACTGCGTCGCATCCTAAAGACCAAGAGCGTCGGGCACGCAGGGACGCTCGATCCCATGGCGACGGGAGTGTTGCCAATTGCAGTGAATCGCGCGACGAAATTCATTCAGGTAACCCGACACGTTCATGCCATGGAACGCACGAGCTTGACGTGGTAAACACAGTTCCTGGACAAGTCGAAGGCGTACGATGGAACCATTCGATTTGGTGTCACGACCGATTCTGACGACATCACTGGGTATAGATACAGCCGTCATGATCGACCCCGAGCATATTCACTTCCAAGGGTAGGAATATCTTGCACGAACGGCCCGTACCATGGTTAACCAAAGGACGAGTTGACGAAGAACTCAAAGCGTACGTAGATAGACCACATCCTTCGTCACAAGATGCCTCAATCTGTCTAACTTCCATAGCTTTGTTGGTCAAATCACACAGCGCCCTCCGATGGTGAGCGCATTTCGAAAGGACGGCGAACGAATGTACAATCTCGCGAGAGCGGGCAAGGTAGGTCTGACAGAAGATCTTGAATGATGCATGATGGCTCACCCGTTATCTCACTGCTGCAGATCGAATTGGAGGATGTCCCGTTGCGCACCGTCACCGTCGATTCCATCACAACTCTCTCGTTCACGACTCATCCTTCGTTTCCAGAGGTACACAAGCCATCGCCATGTGCGCTTAATCCATCTCCCAACATCAACTCTATCTCACAGGCAACGGTCCACATTGTGTGCAGTGAAGGCACTTACATTCGCTCGATTGCTCGCGAATGTGGCGAACGTATCGCGCATCCGACATCATCACTGCAGGAAAAGAGTGACGAGGTTCCGTCGTATGCCGGCGCGACTCTTTCCATGCTCCACCGTACCCAGAGCGGCGGCTTCCTCAGCTCATCTAGCACCACACTTGACGACATCGCTGCTTCGGTCAAAGTACGAAAGTTGGCTCCCGCTCCACTTCGTGACGATGATACAGGACGGAACGTTAACGTTGCAACCGATTGAAGCTGCTTTGCCGCCATCACTTCCAATCTGGACAATTGATGCACCCACCGAGCGTCGATGGATCGGTGGCATGTCTGTCGAGTGGAATGCCGGCGACGACTCCACTTTGATCAACTGGAAACGACCTCTGCAAGATCCAGGCCTGGTATCTGTTTATCGCATGACGGACGGCGAATTCCTCGGTGTGACGTCGCTCTTTCGGACGACCAAGGCGGACGGACACTTCGTCGTCTCGGGCCCACGTGTTATTGTCGATCCTCTCGACTGGCGCAATTCAAAATGAATCGCATGAGTTCCGCGTTATGGTTGGTAAAAGTCCTCGGCGCAAAAGTTTTGCGCTGCATGGATATGGCGCAGCCACGACGCGCGCGCGGCGGCCGTCTCGACGCGAAACCGGTACAACCTCGGCTCTTTCTCGACGACAACCTTTTGAACCACGCTCGTCGACCCGAGAAAAGCATGCACGTCATCGAGCAGGTCCGCGTCAAGGTCTCGGTCCTGTTCGTTGGCGTCGACGGTGGACGACGTTTTGTCCTCGATGGGTGCGCCACCTTCGTCATGGTCGATGGGGGATGGGAGAGTCTCGATCACTTGGAAAGTAAACTCCCGTTGCTGTTCGTCTGGGCGCGCGGTGCAGTGCATAACGTTGACAGCCACGGCCGAATCCCGCATGTCCTCGACGGTGGCATTGCTGGCCTTGGCTTCCGTCGAGTAAAAGTTGAGGTACCCGCACTGAAGTTTGAGATACACAAGCGACCACGGTTTATACTTGCTGCGGGGATTCCACTTGTGCACAGCGTCCACTTTGGACGGCGTTTGGACAAATGTGGCGACGCACGCCGTCGACGGTTTTGCAGATACCCCATGTGCTTTGAAGAGGTTGATCATCTGCGTATGCTTGAGTGCGCGCACGACAGGTGGTCCTCTCGGGTACCTGGAGCCGCATCGCTTCGTCCTTTTGGTCGAGGGACGTCAGATTCGGGTCGCGGCTGTGCATGATGGCCTCGACGTCGTCGGTGAGCCGCACGGTATGCCCGTTGATGGCGACGAGAAAGCTCCCTACTCGTTACATTCTTGAGCACCTCGGAGGTGCAGGCACTCACCAACAGACAGCGCGATGGGATCGCGTGTTTTGTCGATACGCATCACGGCCATGCCGTTGCCAATACGGTCCAAAGTGAAAGGAAACCCGTCGTTGATAGCATCCCGAAGGACGAACGACACGTTTTCAAACGTGGCCTTGCCCATGGGGCTGGGAGGTGGCGATGGGGATGGCGCAGCCATATTTGAAGGGTCCACGATCGGCTTTGGCAATGGCACGACGCGTGGCTTGTCGATCCGCAGCGGCCACTCGCGTTTGTGCACATACCGCGCATTAAACGCGCGGCGAACGCGCTGCAGTTCTTTTTGGTTCATGAAAAATGTGCAACAGCGGCATGTCGGTTTCAACATGACGTGGTGGTGATGACCGTTTGTAGGCATGGAGATCTCCGCTATTCCGAGTTCCACCTCGTCCTCTATCTCTCTGTAGCCATCCCCGTGAGTCGCATGCGCCGTCAAACTGTCAAGAGGGCTGTAATGCAGGTGCATCAAGGCAGTCGGTCCGCCCTTGTATGTACATTTATTCCTGACCTTTGGCGGGTGATCGACGAGAAGGCGCATGCACCTCAAAAGCTAAAGCGACCTATGAAAGTGGCAAAGGTGGAGGAATATAGGTTTGTGCTGATGCAGCCAGCTTAATGGGGAAACTGCATGGACCAAAGGGTCGATGCGGGAGGGGGGTCCTCCCGCGGCCGTCATCCAGCGTCATCCAAAGGATGCTCCATTGCATGATAGAATAGTCCAGGAAAATCTGCATACAAATTGCTTAATATTTTATCCGAACTCAATTCCAGTCGAACAAACTGCAATCAGCTTTAGTATAAGCATTTGTATACTCGAATTATAACAAACATTGAGAAATGTTATAACAAATATGTACCCTTGGTCTGTTCAATGAACCGCGTGTTACAATCTCGCCAGGGTGACGCCACACACTTGGCGAGGGGCCCCATGTATTTTATACTTAGGATTTTAAAATTGTTATACGAATTTATAAACATTTAAATCAATTGCATTTGAGTGACCCCCCCATAGGCCAGCCGAGAACATTCCAAATTCCAGCACGCGCCCGTGACTCACGACACAAGTCCATGAGCTGACACATGTCACGAGCTGTCGATGGTGGAGAGCACTCTGGAACATCTCGTCCGCTGGAAGCATGTTATACTGGCGCTTCATCCTTGCAACCGCCGTGGCCCTGGCCACGGCCGCGGCACAGGAGTTTACGGGTGACGGCACGGGGTACGTCCTCGGCACACCAAGCAGCGGCAATTGCAACTTCATGAACGTCCCGAAAGCTGTGTCGACAAATTATGTCGCGCTCGCAACCGAACGCTTTGCGCAAACGGCCGCGTGCGGAAAGTGCATTCAAGTACGCTGCACGGACGACAAATGCAAAGGTGCCACTGCCACGGAAGTGCTCTACGTTGTGGATCAGTGCCCTGGCTGTGCCAAGGACGACCTCGACTTTTCTCGCGAAGTGTTCAT